ATTTGGTTCAAACGCAGCACTAATCGATCAGGCACGTGGCACATGATCAGAATTGGAGGAAGCGCACGCATAAGAATATCCTGAAGTGTGGTTGTACACTATCCAGTCCGAAACTACACATCCGTAATCGGACTGGGAGTGCTGGTACTGAGCTACAAATAAGTGCCTTTTCCCACCAGCCTTATTTTTTCACAATGGTGTTGGGACGAATGATGGTTATACGGCAGTGAGGCATTGACCTTGTGCAGTCCATGGTGACTACCATGAAGTAACTGAGTGAAGTTATCAAAATTAAAAGAAATCTGGTAGTGCCATTTGGGGTCTGATTCAAAGTATGACTCTCAAACACGATGGAATAAACGAAGCGTTCACATGTGAAATTCACTGTTTCCGAAGGGTTTTGTAGTCAATCGGTTCAAATTATACTAACAAAGCACAGCTCCATCTAACGCACGCACCTGTGTTCAGGGGAGCTTTATTCACTAGATAATTCTAGATAACGCCTGCACTGACCGATAACTTGGGATAATCTCATTGGAGATATTCATTGAAACAATTTACAGGCAACAACGTGTTGTTCAGGTTAACGTTTTTGAGCAAGTACACCTCAATTATTTATTTAGTACGAAAAAAGCCGCGTGTTTGCCAGAGAAGTAGAGCCTTGTTTTTTTATGGAGTAACTCAAATTTCATGAGTACTACCTCAATCTTCCAGTCATGAAAAACAAGGCTGTGTTAGCACTTTGGGCATTCAATGTCAGAGGTTGCCCTTCGGGTTATGTGTTGGCGCGCTAAATGTCCTCACCTCTACACAACAGCAACAGCATGTGGTAAAACCGTCGAAGATTACGGAAAAACTTGCCGAACCCTGCTTTTACATGTCTTAAACCGGTTAGACTAGCATAGGATTGGATCTGGTTTGGATAATTCACTCCAAACAAACACGGATGCACCAGTAAGTTGTCCAGTTGAGTTTCTCCCATTTCTAATCACCTGTCAAAAATAAGTATGATCCGATTTCTGATCTGAGTCTCTTTGAATCTACCGTCGCATTACGACATGACAGCACCAGTAGCCATCCCAATATTGGTTTACCGCCTGGCTGTCCAGTTCCACCTGGGTAGAGACTTTCGTAGCTCGGATTGCGTTCATTGGTTGTTAATCAGGTGATAGTTGATTTATTGGCCGAGCATGGTAATCAGTATTCAAGTACTTCGCTATCAACCAAAGGGACACTATCAGTGCACGGTTGGACGGCTAATTCTTCCTTATCTGCCATCACATTGGGGTACACCAAATACTCTCTAAGAACTACATAGAAGTAAGCAGATATCCCACGCACTGATGATGTTCCCTTCGATTGACAATGAAGCATTCGCAAGCTAATTGACAAGCTCACCTGAATGACAAACATCCATCTACGTGACACACTAATGGGGGCGCAGAAAGAAATGTTTATCATAATCAGAGACAATAAAATCAGTGTTGACACTAATGCTTCACTGCAGTACAATCACAAGGTTTATGTAATTAGGTTTCAAGCCTAAGAATGAAAACAGAAAAGCGGGAGTGAGACAGGGAATCTGATGATGGCCTAAGTCAGGCACTCCGAAGTGCCTACATCGTCAAGCGCCCCTCTGTCAGACAATCTGGAAAGCAACTGGCGACACGAACGCCATTGACTCCGATCAGTCGCCATTTCTTGCAATGTTTCCAGCCTAGCGTACGCGGGGGACCGCATCCTGGAAGACGTCTCGCGCCAAGAACACCTGAACTTCTCGAAATGTTTACCACACCCTCCTGCCAAGTCAAAAGCTGTCTACCTTGCGGGTGGCGTTATTCTAAAGAAGGCACGGAAAACAACACGAGTCTCGGTAGACGGTGTTTCGGCATGCGTAGCACATGACCAAGCCACCGCAACTGATGGCACTGGACGTCTCCCGTGACTGAAGTACTTGCTGCACAACCAAACACCCATATTCCAATTAACTCGTTACGAATTCATTGACGCTATCCAACATCAGCGACGCTTCTGAGGTATCGGTGGTCAACAATCTGAGGACGCCTCACAGCACTTGTCCGGAGAGGCTACGTCTTACAACTAGACAACAATACAGACCTTATTGTAACTTAGTACACGCGATCCTTGTACCACGGTGATACGCAAATTAGCAAACATGACACTGTCGTTTGAGATTCTCCAGCCACACTTCTGTCAGAGCTAATGCAACCACCGAGGTACGTAAAATTCTCCACAACCTCCAGTGGAAGGGTATGTTCAGAGACACCCCGTTCTGAAGTACCAGTTTGAACCTTCGAGGTGAAAGGCGCATGCCAAAGTATGGTAGGATGATCGTCAGTTTATTCAACAGTCATGCGCTGCGCATCCTTCTTTAAAGTTGACGGCGATGTCGTCTGCGTAGCCAGATCGATAAGGTTCTCATTAGCAACAATTTGAAGACCGTTCAGTGTTCGCCTCATTATTTCGTCAATGCGGATGTTGAACAAGAATGGAGAGAGTAGACATCCTCGTCGGACCCCGATTTTTGCAGGGTAGCTTATAGAGACATCATCATACACTTTCACCCGCCCAGAAGTATGCGAATATACGGGTCGGATTATGCTCAAAAACTTCTGGGGCATACCCTGTTAAGAAAATGTAGTTAACAACACTGACCAATCGACAAAATCTAACGCAACATTGAAGCAAAGGAATACCAAGATTGTGGGGTCGTTTGTACATATGGCATTACATCCCGTAAAGTGTGAAGATGTGGTCGACGCAGCCTCTACCCGGTCGAAATTCAACTTAATGCTCACGGCTCAAGGATTCGCGTGCGGCCGTAAGGCCGAAAAACCAGTGAAGCCAGTAGCCCTGATACAACGGAAGTCAAACTAACACCTCTGTGGTTACCATAAGTACGGCGAGTATCCTTTTTGAAAGGGATATTGTCGTGATTCATCCGTGGGAAGTGTGATACCCAGCCGAAACTAGGAGATTGAAGGGAGGTGATAACAACACTTTGGTGTGAAAGAAATACTGCTCGTGCGCATTTTTACATAGTAACTTTTGTGCAGATTATTGACTTACAACAAGCATCTTCATGCTCCACGCCGACCTTATCTTCGTAGGTTCACATCAGTGTAAGCAGCTCGCATGGAGAGGAACATCCGTCCCCGGGCAAACTTTATAACTTTGTAGGGTTACCCGTTATTGACTACTATAACTACTATTAACCGGCAAGTTCGATTCGGGTAAAAACATCCAGACCTGGTCATAGCAGAGTAGCTCAGTGTAAAACCAAAGAGGCATAGGCATAACTAAATTCTGCTTTTCAGAAGGGGAATATGAAGCTCGTGGCAAAATTATACACATTTTCATGTCCAACTTCTAGGCTGCCTGGGAGACATGCATTCTGCACCTAGTGGGTCAATCACCAGGTGGTAGGACTAATTTAGAGTAGGACATCCACAGTGTAACTATTAGCAACAGGAAGTACCCACACAACGAAATCGACCTATGGAAGATAGCATGTAAGGTGTTTCTGCATGCAAAAAACGAACATAATGAGTACCATTAGGATTGGCGAGTCTGACGAACGATTGCATTCTGCGTATACGGCTCTTGATGTACTTAAGAGAATCGGATATGACGTATGTTTTCGCCCAAAAGGAAACATTAGGAACAGGTCCTAATTAGCTCCGCATGAAGAGTGCGACTTTTCCGAGGAGAGGGGACGCATAAGTACACGCTACCAGAGTAAGACATGCTTAGCGATCTTCTAACGGAAAGTATAAGCCTTGAAGTGTATGAAGACAGTGATTTGTTACACAACATATCCTGATCGCGACAAAAAGATGGTGTTGATTCCCCCTAAGAAGCAACTGCAACCGGTGGTTATTTTCCCATTTGTTTTGACTACTCATGAGTAGTGTGATTTACACCCCGCTTAGTATGACAGCCTTTTGCCCCACCATCATTCCCCAGGATTCCCCCTCAAGGTTTGCTTACATTCTAGTCACTAATGTCGAGAACTTTTCTCCTTCTCGTATGAACATGCAAGTTCCTGTTTGCTTCGACGGAAATCGAGTCGTCCTGGGGTCGAACACGGACCCCGCTAATGGGAAAGGAGCGCCCCAGGCAGCCCCATTTTCGTGTTACCCTTGTATTGCATCTTACCTGATAGTTCTTGTTGGAATTTTGTTTTAAACCAGCCTAAGAGCGCATTTCGATTTAATACAGTACGTGCTACTTCACCACGCTGACACCTAATGACTGAGTATATTTAATTTGTGTCAAACGCATCCGATATCCGTTTTCCAGACAGTTTCCGTTGTCTGTTGATTCGGAAATACATTCAGTACGTACTGACTGTCCTCTGCGCCAGTATTCATGTGGAATACCTATCTACCGTATCCGTACGTTTGTGTATCATTTGGTAATTACTCGATTTTGCTCCCAGAAAACCCTGCTGCCTCAGCCATTTCTTCTGCTCGTTGATTATAGGTTATACTTAATTCATGATGTTCATAGGACCAGTTGTCAGTAGTGTTTACTGCCCTAACGGAGGTAATAACCACCAAATGAATCCACCAAAACAATTACCAAGAGACATTCGATTGCATTTCTGTTAACACTTTCCTGCTATCTGGTTGGTATCTGTCCTAGATGTTCCCTTCCCCCCGTGCGGAAAACTGTGAGGGCAAAAGGCTGAGCCTCCCAGGGAAGATCACTGTCGGGAGGGCCAAGAACCTGCCCGGTTACGGGAGGGAGGCAGCGTATGTATACACTCAAAGCATCAATCACAATACCATACCATACAACAAAACGCCACGCTGCAACCTGTTCACATTACCGTTTCGATCAAAATTAGCACTAGAACTGAAAAGGATTCACAAAACACCTTCCAATTATTGGTATAAGATTCAGTAGCAAAACCCAACAACCACCTTAAGTACTTAGGGTAAGTAGACGCCATAGCTTCACGGGAACTGACTTACCAAAACCGCTTTTTGGGGAAAAAGGTCCCAAGGGACGGGGATCACGTCGAGGCCTTGAGCACTGCCGCCGAGCAAATCCAACGCGCAGCAGCCGATTATCCACCATCTGATGATCAAGCTTTGGTAGGAATAGGAGCGAAATTGAAACAACATGGATAAACCTACCTCTATGGCTTTTTGTGCCATTTCGTGAGTTGCCATTGTGACATATGCGTGGCTAAAACGATAAACAGGAAACTCATCACTGATAAAGACATGCAATCTTGCGTAGGTTGGTTGCTAGGGTGAAATAAGAATTTTACACATGAAGAACGAGTTATTTTGAGATGGCTCCTTATCTTGATTCTAGAAGATTTGGTTTAGATATGTGCTCCAAACTGAGTGTTGCCCTGCTACTCTCCATCCGGCTGTCTTGTTTGTCAACCCTACCTGCTCGTCTGTATATCTATTCATCTGTTGATCCCATTCTCCAAAACATCCATACATATTAACATATCATACATTTTTATCAAACCAAATCCAGAACCAGGGGGTTTCTCTAATAACTTGATAGTGTCAAGGGGTAATGTTGAAGAAGCCGTGAGTCAGTGAGATATGAAACGCGTAGATCCAAACTGCAAAACTAAAGTCTCTTCTGAACATCCAATAACTGAATGTTTGCAGAATCCCATGGTTTCTTTTAACCCAATTCCAACCTAATGGGCTTTGTTTACTCTTCTACAGAAGATGATTCACCGCCCATCAGTTGGTCGCATTGCTGCATGGCCATTTCTTGTCGGGTCAATTACCGTGGTGAGAATAGCATGATTCTGGAAAGTTCGATCCACAAGCTACATCAACAGAGCAAAGAAGTATTGAAAAAAGAGTCCAATTGACACAGATATAGAAGGAAAACATCGGTCAGTGGTTTAGCTGAAGGTTTGAAAAGAAGTGCTCAGCCATGAGTCCATCGATTGCTTATCAAACCTTTCTGACACGAAAACAAGAACGTACTTTTGATGCTCACTAATTTTGATTCGAACAATATGCCCAACCGGTTGGAGCAATTTCTGGATGAACCCTTCTGTCACCTTGTGATATCCCACGTAAAGCGTAGTGTCAGATGATTTCGGGGATTCGCCAGAGTGCCCAGGATCGGCAGGTGCATCCGTAACCTAGGAAAACAGAGTGTGAAAAGCAACTGGTCATCGGAACTATACTGAGCTCGTATGATTTCCCGTAGCTTCATCTTCATCTTCTGACAAAGTTAGAAGTTGTTGCTTTCGTTTCGTAGCCAGAGATTCCGTGTTATATTGGGGGTTTGATACACTACAATCAAGAGCGGAAGATATGAGCGGTGGTTTCGAACTGAATTCCTCAGAACGATCTTCCTTGGCTTCTGTGTTGGCCGGCATTAGTTTTGGACCACGCAGAAAGTTTCCATAAAGTAGCTGTTTATCTCGTGGAGCAGATTTGGTCGGCTGGATAGATGATGCCAATTTAATAAAATGTCACATACAGTTCGTCCGGGTTCTTCCTCCTCTGGATCCTGATGATATAAATCGAACAGATCGATACCCTACCTTTGGTCTACGCTTGAAAGTGTGCCGCTCCTTCTTATCGGCTATTTGTATGGCACCGGAGCGCAGTAATTCCATTGCTTCTTCTTTGGCTTTCTCTCCAGTTTTACCGGCCGCTGTGCGGAGCAAAACTGTAAAGCAACAAGCTAAACAGGGACGAACCACGTGGTTTCTCCTCTCTCTTTATCTGACTTATTTCGGTCAACGTGCGTTTCTATCAGTCTGATAAGAGTCGTCAAAGTGAGGATCTATACCATTTTTCTAAGAGTAGCTAACTCCTTTTTGAGCGCCTTCTCGGGTTCTGTGTAATCTCGGGGCATTTCGACCAGAACTGATCGATAATAGGATATTTAGAAAGTGACGTACAACTCGATAACAACTCATCCGTGTCGACGTTCCTAGGACAATAATGGTAATGAAAAGGGCCTACTTTCCCAACTCCTGTACAAGATCCTCACAGGCCATGATTTCGTAAATGAGGTGTGGAGCACGAAAAAGCTGAAAGAAAAAAGATGGATTGGCTTGATCGAACAGAATGAAAAAGAAGGACAAAAAATGAGCGATCGGCTGATTATACGCATTGAAAGGACCACGTTGAAAACAAGATGAAACAAATTAACCGAAACGAGCTAATGGCGATGATTGCGCTTAGATCACACGTGTACTATCTGCCGGTGAAGCACACCGTCGGATTTAACCGATATAGATCCAACAGCACTGAATAAAATCATGTATCCCCCCCCAAAAAAAAAACAAGAAAAGCTCTATCATCCGCATAAAATAGGGGACGCTTGTAAGCTCACTAACACATAGGGCTTCTACAAGTTGAAAAGATCGGGGTTGAAAAATACAACATTCCTGTACATTTACTTTAAACGCCTGTGGACAACAAATAAAAGTACACTTGTCTCAGATGCAAAAATATCTCGGCTGAAGACGCGGACAGTAAACGATTACACCTAGTGCTGGTACAATTGAGAACAGTGGCTATCATAAAAATATCTCACATACGTCTCCACGGCTATATAAGAATTATGTCAGAAACGAGCGTCGATTGCGACAGAAACGATTAGAAAATTATCGTTCAGCTGTAGCACCCTTCCGGTACCTAGCTGCCATGCCAACCGAAAGAAGCACGAGGGCTGGGATACTGCCAGGTTGCCCAAGCCTAGACAGGGGAAGTCGAGTGGCGGGGGTCGGATTCGAACCACGGACCTTCCGGTCAGTAAATTCGCGCTCTAACCACTTGAGCCATCTCGCCCCCGATACGATCCGCTACCACTGCGATCCGCCACTAAAAATCGTCGTAGCGTCGGACGTTTTAATCTACGGCATCAATACAGTGATTGCGTACGTATTTCCTGACAGCAGCCAGAAAGCCGTAGCACGTACAGCCAGATCCCTGGAACCAGCCGAGCGAAACTAAAGTCAGGTAAAAAAGCTTTGGAAATCGTGCTTGCCATCAAAACGTTTCAAAAAGTGCTCTAAGGTCCCCAATTTATGTTACTGACCGATCACAAGCCGCTCTTTACTGGGCTTGGCTCGAAGAAGGGGATTCCGACATATACCAACAACCATCTCAAGAGATACGACCAGCCTCAGACAAGCCAAGCGGACCAGAGGTCGGGTTCGAACCACGGAGCCTCCGGTCAGTAAATTCGCGCTCTAAAAACTAAACCAGAAACGGGAAATCAGAGGACTATTGGACACGTAGAACAGGACCTGAAAATACCACAAGAAAAGGTTAGTTTAACCATGGAGCTGTTGTGCACGGAGCAACGCCTGGCATCTCGACTGCTCCCATCTACATTTGCGTAACCCGGCAGTACCTCAGTCCTCGTGCCTACCTCGGGTGGGATGACAGCTAAGAACAGAAAGGGTGTTACAGCTGTCTTTAGGATTGATTAAACTGATCCCGATATGTTTATGGGTTTGTGACCGCTACTCTCATCTTCGAGTGTCTCGCAGCTGTGCAGCATTTTAGGTTCAGTAGAAAGGTCTGACGAACACAATCCCCTAGTTTTCCCGGTTGGGGGTTGGAATAAATGCTACAGATTGAACGTTACACGGGTGGGCGCCACAGCGCGATGTACACACTTGCGCAATTACAAATAACCTTACATTACATCGGCCTCTCTGTGGTAACATTAACCAGCTACAAACAATAGGATGGATAAAGAAAAACTGTCAGGAAGGCCAGATTTCTGAAAGTGATCCCAGAATATCCCCAGCTGTAGGCACACCAATCAGACACAGGGAAGTGACCAACTGCACAGCGCCGCCCACATCTGCCACTTCACTTTCATTGTAAGAGTTCCTCCCTTCGTTTATATTACGTCGCAGGTTGGGAAACAAACTGCATTTGCGCGAATTCCTAATAATTAATTGGTAAACCTTCGAGTACAAGATCAAAGTACGGCAGTTGGGCTCACAGCATCTTCGCTGTCTAAACGGCACCGTCTGCGAACTTCAGATGGTTTTCAGCTGTCACGGCTGGGTGAGCCGGTATTGGTACAGCTTTTATTTTTATATTTGCCACCTCCCTTGCTTGACTGGATAAAAAAATCGTTCAGCTGTAGCACCCTTCCGCTGCCTAACTGCCATGCCACCTGAAGGTTGCACGAGGGATGGGATACTGCCAGGTTGCCCAAGCCTAGACAGGGGAAGTCGAGAGGCAGAGGTCGGGTTCGAACCACAAACCTTGCGGTCAGTAAATTCGCGCCCTAACCACTTGAGCCATCCAGCTTGACTGGATACCAGTAAACAGTTGCCTCTGTGTCGCTTGTCCGTCCATCTCCATAAAACGTGCCGGTTAAAATAGTAACTACTTCTTGTTTAGACTTTTTAATTATGCACCTGTTAGGACGGTCAGGTCCTAAAGAATAATCCGATTTTTCGTAGTATTTCACTAAGATTTCATTTTCCCTGGTGTAGTCAACTGATTCGCAGCGCTCTTCCTTTCATTGGTTCATCCACAATATAGCCGACCTTCATCCGGCGTCCTTTGTCTTCTGCCTTGAGGTCTTCCACTCAAGTATTTAGACCAAACGCGAAATAATAAGTTCCATCAATCTCTTAAGTCACCGAGCTAGCACAGTTACGACACTGGTGACGAGTCTTCCACGATGTCAATATCAGCAGACCAATTCAGGTGACTTTGAAACACCAGCAAAAGCAGTTTCTGCATGCGCAACTGCTTCTTTTTGGTGAACGCGTTATTACACTAGCCAAACTGCACGCGCGAGTACTGACGCAGCTCCATTTTGGACACCTAGGCATCAACCGCATGAAAGCCTTGGCGCGAAGTTACGCATACTGCCCGGGTATGGACAAACACCTACAAGAACTCGTGCGGTCCTGTTCAGTGTTCTGCAAAATCGCCGTGGGAGACCGAGTTATCTCCGTGACCTGCACTAACTAACCCTTGGTCGCGTCTACATAATGATTTCTGGGACCAATTAACAATCAGTATTATCTTATCATGGTTGACGCTTATAGTAAATAATCGAAGATAATCATAATGGATCACATCACCTCTCGCACCACAATCTTGCAGCTCATTCGCATCTTCAGTCGCTTCGGTACGTCATAAACACTGGTTTCATATAACGGTAGAGTAATTACCTCAGTGGAAATCGTCCTGTTTTACAAGCAAATGGCATTCACTATGCAAGATCGCCACCATTCCATCTTCAATCAAACGGCCAAACCGAACGCTTAGTCAATAGTTTCGAATGAGCACTTCAAAAGCTTAAAGGGGAGGGAACGTCAGCGGTGATTATTGAAACCTGCTTATTAAGTTACCGTGCAGCACCTAACCCAAATGTGCAAAGAAAACAACTCATCCACAGAAGCACATTTCGAGTGTAAAATCCGTTTACCCATAAATGTGGTACTCCCATCGCCCCGCATCCATAAACAAGGAACACACACATGGAGTAAGAGCTAAACCGCCACCACGGGGCCATTCACACCACACATGAGCCCGGTGAATCGGCCATGGCCGAGGACTATTCAAACGGCAGAGAGAAATGGACTTATTGTTACATGAAGGGCCGTATGGGTATGGGGGCGAGATGGTTCAAACGGTTAGAGCGCGAATTTACTGACCGCAAGGTCCGTGGTTCGAACCCGACCGCTGCATCTCGACTTCCCCTGTCTAGGCTTAAGCAACCTGGCAGTATCCAAGCCCTCGTGCTTCCTTCGGGTAGCATGGCAGCTAGGCACCGGAAGGGTGCTACAGCTGAACGATTTTTTTGTTTTCTGTTGTATGGGTAACGCCACGTACAGAGTCGTTGTACAGTTGGATACATGGGTACGTCAGGTGAAGCAACTTCGCCCTGGACACGCTGCACCGGCTACATCAGATACTTCGACTCTTCTGGATGTATTATGTTTGAGCTACCATCCACACATGTGCCCCCTGTGCAAACACAAAAAAACCAATTGAATCCATATGAAGACCGAGACGGTGGTCCAGCCGTAACTCTAAATCAATGCAGATGAATCCGCATCTGAAAAATTTCACAAACTTTGAAGGGGAAGGTGTTAGGACAATCAGACTCTAACTAACAACTCGATCTTTTGTAAACATCGCCATCACTGTCAGCTGTAATAACAGCGTACTATTCGTACAGTGGTCGTTACCGCCACAGTTTGATTCACGGATGATTCGGAGAGGTGGGGTAGGCAGCTGCGCATTAAAGGAGGGAGCTGATGAATTAGTGCGTAAATACATTACTATCAGTGGACTGTTAAGTGAGGGATTGAGAAAGGAGCTATGCATTGAAGGCAATAGCTTGGATGTACGAACGCCACTGATGTGGCTCGTATCGGGGTCCCCACCCAGGGAGACGGCAGTGACCAGCGCAGCTGAGTTTGTTGGTAATGACTTTCATACTTCGCCTCAAGGTCGTTGTTTGACCGCCTCTGGTTCATTTCTACATTTTACGTGGTTGGGCGAAGAGAACCCTTCGAGGAAGTCGGTCGACTGGCATACCGAGCACGTGGCCAAGCCAGTGCAACCGATGCAGTGTGATCAGTTCATCTATCGAAGGTGATTTATTTCTTCCGAATACCATTCGACGTACTTCAGCATTGCAGATCCGATGTTCCCACCAGATTCGGACAATGCTCCGAAGACATCGATGATCAGACACTGAAAGTCCTTTAACGTCTTCAGCGCGCAGCGACCAGGTTTCTGATCCATATAGTAATATGGAGCGCACCGCGGCATTGTAAACTCGACCCTTGACAGAGAAGCTGATGTCACGCCTACGCCACAGGTGACGTAGGTTCGCAAAAGCTGCTCTGGCCTTCCCAATCCGGATGGAAATATCATCTTTCGCCAGACCACCGGGACTGATACAGCTTCCCAGGTAAACAAATTTGTCTACTACCTCAATCGGTTCATCCGCAAGCATGAGGCTAGGGTTAGAGCCCACCCAGTCTTGCAGTAGCACTTTACACTTTGCAGGTGTGAAGTGCGAGCCAAATCGTGAGGCGCAATTATTTAGGTTATTCAATATTGTTTGCAATACCACGAGGTCAGGTCCAAGAAGAGCTACGTCGTCTGCATACTCGATATCCGTGAGCGGAGGCCCAGGGAGCACTTCGACCCCACAGTCATTAGAGGCTGATTGTCAATCTTCATGATCGTATCATGACGAAGTCGAAGAGTAAAGGTGAAAGAGGACAGCCATATCGGACACCACTTGATGTGGTGAACTCAGACGTTTTTGGGAGCGAGGTGTCTCAAGTGGTTAGAGCGCGAATTTACTGACCGGAAGGTCCGTGGTTCGAAACCGATATCCACCTTTCGACTTTCCTTGCTTAGGCTTGGGTAACCTGGCAGCATCCCAGCCCTCTTGCTCCCTTCGGATGGCACGGCAGCTAGGCACCGAAGGGGTGTTACAGCTGAACGATTAATTCGGGCGAGAGCTCTCCGTAAACGTTCACACAGTGACGGGAGTTTGCGTACAGCGCCTTAATGAGGGTCAATAATTTATGTGGGGCACATTTATTCCGCAGACACTGCCGTAGTGTCCGACAGTCCACAGAGTCAAAGGCAGCTTTCAGGTCAAGGAATACAACCATTAGTAATTGCTGAAAGCAGTGGCGCTGTTCCAGAATTTATCGGAAGGTGAAGATATGATCGACGCATCCTCTCTCAGGACAGAACCCAGCTTGGTTTTCACGGACCTGTCTCTCCCTGTGTTCAATCAACCTTCGAAGGATAAAACCAGAGAGCACTTTCGATGCCACAGCGAATAGGCTGATGCCACGCTGGTTTTCACACAGCGTACGCGTATTCTTTTTGAAGATAGGAATTACTGTCGACATCCTGCAGGCACCTTCTTTTCGTTCCATATAGCACCAATAGACTTCGTCAGATGGCTCACCAGGGATTCTCCACTTTCTTTGAAAAGGGCTGTACACAGATCATCCGGTTTTGGTGCCTTCTCACTTTTCAGCACGGATGTTTCGTACTTTACATTCCATTCGCCCGTATGCATTATCTCCACAGGCTGTGTTGCAGGAGGCCAGCTACACTGTTCTTCGAAGTGCTTGATCCATCTTTCCAGTCGATGCTTTTGCGAGCAAATTAATGAGCCATCGTTTTCACCTATCATTTAGCTGATCGTTGGTTTCCTAGGGTCAGTCGAGGAACTTAGTTGATACAGGACACGGATGTTACTGGTAGCAAAAGCCTTCTCCGTCTCCCGAACTTTCGGTGTACACCAGAGCTATCAGTTTTTCCTTAAGCCTTTCACTATTCAGCGTTTGAGGAATTTGCGTGCGCCGTCGTACTCGTTGCCTGCTGGTATGGCTTTCCTGGCATCAATCATGGATAACGACCTCGACGACATCCAGTGGTCCTGTTGTCGAATTGGAGAAGTCGAGCAGACAGCGCTGACCGCCGCCAACATACCTCCTTTCACAATTTGCTCTGTTTCATCCACAAGCTCACTGCAACCACAGTACTGATTTACTGTGGAGAGTTGTTAGGCTAGCTCAGGTCGTTCTTCGAGGACAGTGGATTGCCATGCTTCTTGCCGACTTGCGAGGGCCTGAAGGGAAGCGAACTGACAGGCGTGCACGCACCATGGCGTGATCGAAATCAAGTGGTGTGCCCCAGAAGGAACGACAGTTTTGAACTGTAGCTCTCTACAAGTAGCTTATGATCACGTGGTCCGACTGGGTCCACGGCAGTTAGTGGCCACCAGGTTACGCGATGCGAAAGTTAACGTTGAAAGTTCGTACTTGCCAGGAACAGTTCATGGCCAGCACACAATTGATGGAATCGATCTCCGTTGTCTGTTGGGCAAGCATTGACTCCAAAGCAATCGCCTAAATGTGATTCCTAGGAGCTCAGACGACCTACTTGAGAATTCAAATCGCATGCAAGGATCACAATGTCAGTGCTTTTTGCCTGACGAATGAACCCATCATCATCACCATCGCCAGCATGACATCAGTGTTCAACACCGATGCTTCACCGAAGCTTCACACCATGAGTTATTTGAAAGCCTTATTGTAAAGAAAAGAGTAAAGGTGGACGGGGGATGGACTTAGTGCTAGCTTACCACAATCATTCCGAGGTGCCTACACTTCCAGACATTCACTCAGGCAATCTGGATACAAATTGACAACAAGATCGCTACTGACATCGGTTGGCAGCCATATCATGTAGTGTCTCCAACCAGCGTAACTGACTGCGAGGCGATGTCTGTCTGTGTCAGTTTGAAGGGCGAGATGGCTCAGTGGTTAGAGAGCGAATTTATTGACCGGAGGTCCGTGGCCCAAACCCGACATCTGCCTCCCGACTTCCCCTGCCTAGGCTTAAGCAACCTGGCAGTATCCCAGCCCTCATGCTTCCCTCGGGTAGCATGGCAGCTAGGCACCGGAAGGGTGTTACAGCTGAACAATCATGCGTGTTTCGGATCAATTTAAGGGGAGTTTCAGAAAATATTGCCTGTTTTCCAGTTTGACGTGAAGTACGGATCTTGTGGATCTAGAAGGGTGTTATTTTGTTTACTGTTAATAGGGAGCGAGGGGCATAAGGCCCTTCGGCCAGACAACTGACAGTCAAGCAACCCAGCGACGTTTCCTTGTGTGATGGGAAGGGGTTAGGGAGGGACATCGGTGGACACAGAACTGCGCGGGCAAATGACACCTCCCGGGTACCCAGGCCGAGAAATGGGGTTTGGTTGAGGTAACCCACCCTGAGCCATCGAATCAAAAGTCTGACGCACGAGGCAGCAGACAGTGGAGCTTTCTTTGGAGACCCCGCCCGGATCCGATGACTCAACAGACTGACCTGCTCGGCTGCAGGGGGTTGGCCTAACCAGAGGGCACAGGGAATAAGGCATTGCTGTCTCATTCCTGATGCGGCTGCGCACAGCAGATGTCTTGTGAGCAGCACCGGGCTCATTGGTTTTCAAAGTATTTCGACCGTAGTGGATAATGCGCCGACGGTCACGGTCTACCGTTAGGCGATCGGAGTGTCTGGTTTTTGCGGCCGACATTTTCTAACCCGTCCCTCCTCGGGGGAAGGCAGCATCGCTGCTTTTATTAATATAGACATCCTGATCGCCTGGGGGAAACACCTTACTGCCCTCACATTCCTGTCGCAGAGGACAGTACGACTTTATCCCAGACCGCCTCGTAGCACGATCACTCGTAGTAAGGGGCCTCGTTGCTCTTGGTTTGACTGCTCCCTTTGGCCTTCCTGGCATGGTTGCAACTTGTGGAAGGACGTTCCAGCCAGTGCAGCCCATGAGATCATCGCAGCACTCAGGCCCAATCAACACGTCAAGGTGGCAGCTTTAGGTCGGGGATCTTTTATAATAGTTCAATAAGATTTCATTTTCCTTGTTGTAGCCAAATGAGCCGCAGCGGTGACTTTTCCATCGTCCGCAATATAGCCGTGGTGTGACGGTTTGCGCACCTCAGCGACCCATTGAGCTATACTGGAGAGTGTCCCGCGACACTCACAGAGTCTCTCACACCAGGTTGGTCAATGGTTAGAGGTCTGACGAACACAGTCTCCTGGCCCTCCAGGTTGGGGGTTGGA